TTCTGACACATAAAGGGCAAAGGGCTTGCCAAACAATTGTGTGCCAACACCTCACTATTGGCTGAAAATTGACATCCACACGTTACTCTGTATCAGCTCAGCTGCGCCTTGTACTCATTATATTGGCTCAGGAGCTGCTTGTTTGCAGCCATGAATACATACATAACTTTTGTGTGCCATTCAAGCTCTCTTGCTGGAGATCTGCCATCATCTGGGGAGGTCACATGGATCTGATGGCTAGAAGAAAAAAAAAGTCTGAGAAAATCAATAGAAACTCTATAGAGCAGCACAAGAATCCTTCCAAATGATGTGGAGCTGCTGCAAGCCCTACCTTTTAAAGTGTTTGGTGTAATTTCAGAAAGCTCAGCCCATTAAAAATAACTGCTTTGCTAACTAAATCAAAATATCTTTCCTGTCTCCTAAAGACAAAATCCATTCATAGCAGTATTGGGTGCAGCAGAAAACCTACGGCCTCTCTTCTTTGTGCTGTTCCCTTCTGCCTGGACAAACTTTCATCCTAGTCCTTTTGTGAAGTCTCGTTCTCAATAATGAGCAGCCAAGCCACAGCCAACGTGTGTTGTGGGAACATGACCAGGAAGAGACACTTAGAAGAAAGAAGAATCCAGGACTACACAATATCTTGATAGTTAACTTGATTAGAGCGATTAATACTAACACAAACGAGAACAAAATGCAAAGTTTTGGGAGCTTTTGGGTGAAAGCAAACATTGCAGTTTCCCATGAACTCTTTTGCTCCCTCGCTGGCTTTAGTCATACCCCAAACGTTCACATTGCTTCCTCTTTTCAAGACCTGGATAGTCATGTTGACCAAATATTGGTTTTATAGTTACAGTTAATATTTTTGTTCTTCTCACTCAGGACAAACAAAGAGCAATGATGGAAGAAGAAATCTAGCTGAAATCATGGCTGCCAAGGAGAAATGTTTGTCTAGAGGATAACTCGAGTCAGAGATGCACATGTGAACTACCTTCTGAAATATTACAGTTGTGACTTGCAGGAGGGCAGCTGGGTACTTTGACAATGCTGTCTGGCTTTCAGATCCATGACTTTATACATTTTCTCTTCAAAAATCCTTTTCCTCAGTATTTAAGAAGAAACTGATTTTCAAGTGCTGATTCCCAGATGGAGTAACAACCTCCACCCATCATGAACTATGAAGCTCCTCTTTTATTAATATCATTTCAGCTCTTTTCCAAAGGCCAGTGAACTCCACAGCTCTTCACTGACTGCCTAGCCCTGGGTTAGAGTATGTATATATAGAAAATAGTGTCCTGCAAAGGTTTTGAGATTTGGGTTTTGCTGCCACTTTACATATTGAACATGATTGAGGTTTCGGTAATTGTTCCAATGGAGAAAAGCAGAAGAAATTTAGCTCACCCGAACAATCACTCTTGTCTGATGATCTGGGTTTGATTACGGGCCTTTGTAGATGCCTGAAAATCAGTTCATATCCTTTGCTTCAGAGGCAAACCCTATAAAATGCATTTAGTATCCCACTGAGTATTGCTTACATTTAATTCTGTGCTTATTTTTGGTCACAAACTCAGTGGGAAGCTGCGTAAACAAAGCTGCAATAAGCGTACACACGCGCGCACAAAGAGATTGCCAAGCAAACGGTGCCAATCTGGGTAAGTCTAATGTAAACATCGAGTCTAGACAAAATGATCTAGAGACAGAAGCCAACTCTGATGTCAAAGGAGATCAAATGTTGATAAAATTGCTTGAACCAGGGAGCCAAAGAGGTTTGTGTTAAACTTGGATAGTGGTTGACAGTGATGTTTTTACTCAGCTTGAGTTAATGGAGTTTTTGACCTAATATATTACTTCAGACTCCCTGAATCTGAGTTAACAGGTCTGAAAGCCTTTGCTTTGGTTAGCCCATTGATGCATGGTACAAAGCACCTCTTCCAGCTCTGGGCAAAGCCTCCATCATGCTGCCTGGTACAGGAAGGGTCACCCTGCAAACCCTCATGTGCTACCCATAGCAAGCCAGGTCCTTGCCAGCCTCCTGTGACACAGGATAAGGTAGAAGTGGTACTTAGGGACATGGTTTAGTGGGCAATATTGGTGGCAAGTGGACAGTTGTACCAGATGATCTCAAAGGTCTTTTCCAACCTTAATGATTCTATGATGTGGCAAATGCAACCTCAGGGAATCTGGTCACAACAGGGGGCTTCAACCCCAGCAACAAGAAGCTGTAAATCTGGCAATACAGATTTAACCAGCAAAATATTTCATTCTGTAGTGATTGACCTCTACAGGTGTATGGTCTCAGGGACAGGCCAGCCCACCTGGTTCTGAAATCTCATTTCCATGTCTGTTGGTTCCTGTGAACATAGGGGTCCATGCATTGCGGCAGCTCTGAGCAAAGGGGTGCCATCCCCTTCTGTTCTGCAAATAATCCTGAGTGCATAATGCAGAGCTGGCTGCAGAGAAACTGGCTCGGAAATGTCTGTGCATTTATTTGCATTTCCAAGAAGGACTTCAAGGTAAGCAATAGTCGCAGCCCAGCAGCTGGGCAATGCTTACCACCTGGAAATATGCTCCAGTAGAACTACAATGATGAAATAAGACACAGGCTTTGTGTGATCTGTGCCACACTACATCACTGTTAAAACAATGGTATTGCTTCTTGAGGTCATGTTAATAGTATACAACATGAAATTTAAGCGTTCTTGAATGATCTGGGCAGGGACAGCGGCTCCTGAACCTGCCCAGATCATTCAAGAATGCTTAACAATCCCCTTTTTCTGCTTCACTGTTTTTCTTATTAGATTTTGCATGCCTTATCTAAGATCTGTATCACATACTCTGCTGGCCCATTGTGTCAATTGGTCTGTTTGCAAGAGTGCTTGGTCAGATCCTAATTTGTCTTGAGGTTGCCCTGCCAACATCTGCATGCACTCTGTTCTAGATGGGAAGCACTTAGCCTGATTATTGGAATAGAGCAACAAAGTTTCCAAAAACCAAAATAACTTTTAGAGCAGAAAGTGAACTAACAAAAAAGTTATTCATGGGAAATGACCGAGAGTGCAGAACAATATGTCAGTTACTAAACAGGTTAGGGTCAGTGGCACGAAGGAAATAAGCACCATGAAAGAGCAAATCTGCTCTGTGGTTCCTGTGGTGGGACAGATCTCCCACAGCTTGTGTCCTCAGCTGCCTCCCTCTGTTCCCAGAGCACGGTCTCGCTCCAGTTGACTTCCAGGACTAGCTGCAAGCCTGTCCCAGAAGGTGATCGTCATCCGCCCCAGTGAGTCAGAGCTTTAACCTGCCAGGTGCTTCTTCTCTATCTCCTTGGCCAACTACGTGTGGATGAACACGTGGGACTAAACCATGGCACTGGTGTGCCTGGAGATCTACTCAGAAGAACCAACAGGGATGTCACAGTCCTGGAGGTACCAGTGCAAGGGCCACCACCAGCTCTGGCCCCTCCAATGCCAGCGATTCTCCAGAGCCCCCTCCCACCTCCTCCACCACTCTTGGGGAGATGCTCTTTCATATTTCCCCCAGCTGGCTCTAAAGGCACAGAAAAACCCTGAAATGAGGGAAGTCATATAATCTGTGGTTTGAATTTTGCTTAAAAGCATATTAACCCTCCCCCCTCCTTTTTTCTTTTTCTTTTCTTTTTCTTTTGGGGGGATTTCCTTTGTTTTACTGAGCAGCTGCATGCTGCAAGGTCCCAGAATTGTAATTTTGGCCTGCAACAGCACCATATACTGTCACAGTGTGTATTACATATCCAATAAAGCCTGACTATTGCGTCCTCTGGGCACACTTTAAAATAATTGCTTGTAAAAGCACATACTCATCTCAGCTGCATTCGTCTGAGGGACCAGAGACAGAAAAGGCTTCCCACTTTCCCAGACTACATATTCTCCCTGTCCTCCTCCATCACACCCACCCTCCATTGCCCCCCAAATCAGCTTTTCCTAGGGAACTGCTCAAAGGCTGAGTCTGCCCCTTCAGCCTTGCCCAAGGCTGCACAAAGGTAGCCCAATGTGTAGAGGAGGAAACACCTTAGGGACAAGGGGGTGGCAGAGGAGATGGAGTGGGAGAGTCACATCTGTCCTGATGGAGATGGAGGGACCCCTTATTCCACCCCCTCCTCCATGAGGCAGAGGAGAAGCAAGGCCCAACCACATCAGTGGATGTTGACTTGCCTACAAGAACACCATGCTACCTTGATGGCTGCCATCACTCTCTGCCTTTGGCCATTATGAACCTTATGGTTCAAACATCAAAACTCCAGCATAACACCTAAAGAAAAGCAATTCCTCCAACCAACATGGCCTACACCCCCCTGAGACTGTTCCTTTCCTCATTCACCTCTTAAATCCTCTGTGCAAACAAGGAGCCCATAACCCTTTCTTGGCCATTTCACCCTGTCTCAGAGTGACTATTAGAAATTAGTGACGAGTGAACATCCAGTGCTTTGCAGTTTGGGGTCACTTCACTTTAAATAAGCATCCAGACATTCACAGCTGAGCTAGCCAAAGCTCATTTGTCTCAAAATTTTCTCACGCGATTTCAGGCACAATTTCTTCTGGCCACAGCTGGGATTATCAAGAGAATATTCCTCTTTGCTTTGTTTTGGGATGTTTGGCTCAAGTGGTAGCCAGAACTGGAAGTTAAGAAAAAAAGATACTGATTTTGTCAATTTATCTATCTATCTAATCTATACTCTAAGTGGGAATATTTATGAGAACTTAAAACCTTCAGAACCCAAATTAAATTTTATTCAAAATGGAGTTGAATTGGATATAACCTTTAGGAAAAAAATCGGTTCTTAATTTTTGTCTTGACAGACACAAACTTATAAGAATCAACATTTCAGTCCATTTTGAAAAAGAAATCATGAAATCTGATTTTTTTTTTACTTTTCTCGTGTTTTGTTTTTTTTTTTTTTTCTTTTTTTTTTTGTTTCCGTTTTTTTTTTTTTTTTCTTTTTTTTTTCTTTTTTCTTTGTTTTTGTTTTATTTTTCTTGTGTGTTTTCAAGGCTATCCACTTACGGAAAGTAACAGCGAAAGTTTATCTGCTGACAGCTCATTGCCAGAATTCCAGGCAGGGGCTTGCAATATTTACACAAGGTGTTTCATTGTGAACTTTCTGTATGCAAGTGTATTAAAACTCAAGAAATACACACAGCAAGTTGCAGAAAATTAATTCTCTTTCCTTCATTCCTGTACTTGCAAGCAATCTTTGCCAGTCCTCTTTCCATTCCAGAGCACAATAATGCCCATAAAAGACCAGAGAGTGTCTGCTCTATGCAACATTTCTGCTTGTTTATAACAGGAGGGGAAAAATGGATTGAATTTATTACAGCTGGTGGGGGAAATCTGTTTTTGTCCATTTTACCTGATTGTTGCCGAAACCATATGTACAAAATAAGTGAAAAGAAGCATACCTGCAAAGAAATTCGGCTGTTGAGCATTCTGCAGGGTTTTCCTGAGGTCTGACCTTTGGCAATCATGGTTTTGCCATGCTTTACAGAGATCTAATTGTTCCTAATTTCCTGTCAATAAATGGTACAAGGTGTGGAGTTGCACTTTTAATGTTAAATTTCAATCATTTGTCTGACTTAATAGACATGAATAGCTCTTTCAAATGTAAGTGCTTTCAGTTCATGTAGGATATATTTGTATTGAAAACGTATTTTGAGTGGATAAAGCCATTATTCAGGATGTAGGAAAACATTTCCTACCTATTGCTGTCAAGCTCTGGGGGAGCTGTGGGCTCAGGGCTTGGATCTTCTGATCTTGGGAAATAGACTCTAGAGTAAGGGTATTTTTTTCCTTCAGTGAAAATCACAACAGGTTCCTTCTTGCCATGGGGAGATGTGGCCATGCTCTGTCCCAGGCATGTCCTGTCACATACACATGCATCTAGGTGGCATGCAGGTGTCCTCCCACCACCAGGCTATTCCTGGAGGCACAAAGCCAATGCTTCTTCTTGGAAACACTGTTGGTCCCTTGGCATCTTTCTCCTCTTCCCCAGGATTTTCGGATTTGGGTCTTCAGGTGTTTGTTTTCCCCTGTGTGTGAAGCTTCCCACATCCCTGACATGCCCATGATGTGTAGTAACTGCAGCGTGGGCATGCCCTGAGTCACAGAGGCAGTAGCAAAAGCCACATCTAGTTCTGGGAAGGGAGTGCCAACTGCCTGACTGCAAGCCTCTATCAGAGCCCATCTGAAAGTCTTCATCTAAAATATACAGCAATATTTCTGCTGGACCTTGATCTGGCTAGGTGTGATGAGAAGAGTAGTGTTTCTACAGGTTGATACTTCAAAGAGGCAATAAAGTGCTAGGGAAAATTGCTTTGGACTTGTGATGATGCAGTTAAATATTTGCAAAACTGTTTTAACAGGATGCAGAGGAACTTAGAGCTATTAGTGATAGGTGATAAATCAGTTCAGATAAAGTAGTTTGTGTGTAGAAGATCGGTACTTGACTTTACTGTAACCATGAGTAACATTTCAGTAAATAACAATTTATTGAAATCTTTAAGTCAACAGTCATTCATCCTGTAAGGTTTCCACAGGTGAACTTGTGGTCTACGTTGATAATCACTGTTCGGGAGCAGATTAAAAAAATATATGACTCACCGTATAATCTACCCAGGCAGTCCTGACCCTGAATCAGAGCAATTATTACAATTACAACGTCCTTGTGTTTGGTATTTTTAATTCAGCTTTACACACTCTTCTGAAAGTTCCTGGCAGGACACTATATTCTGTTGGTCTTCTATCACATTCTAAAGCACTCGATTACACCAAGAAAACCAGTAATTTCTCTATATTTGTAGCTATTCTTTCCTCTGTTGCATACAATGCTGCTTTTCCAGTATTGAATCCATGAAAAATGGCTGTATTTTTCCTATGAAAAAAAAGATGTGTGTTGTAACTTTTCCTTAACATAGACTGTGTTTTAATATAATTCAGCTCATAACTAATCCCCTCCTGCACAGATAACATTTTATACTTGAGTTTTGCTCTTTGAGCTTTTCAGCTTTTCAATTCCAGCACTGGATTCATATCAGGTTTCCTCTCTTAAATAGTTCTCCTGTCTGTTTTGTATAACTTCCAGTGGTTTGCAGAGTATCTTTGTTTCAAAATCTGTTGGTCTGCTCTACTGGGACTACATATGTCTCTGTTGTGTTTAACTATCCCCTGCAACCTGTTAATATAGCATAATGGGTTTGCGAAGATAAAAACCTTACCAACAAAATAATACTCCTTTCATTAGAAACGGACCCTGAAAAAAAAAGTAGACACTTGAAATGAAAAATATTTCAGGAGGAGAAATATCTAGGTCACAGCTTTTCTCAATTTTTGTAATTTAATGCAGCCTGGAATAATTGCTGCATGCATTCTTTTGAAATCAAGTCCTATAATGTTCTTATTGCTCAATCTCTATTTTCGAATGTTCTTGGTACTGTACATTGTTCTGTTTTCCAAATAATTACATTGTAAAAAAAATGCTAAAAAAGTAAGTTGAATCAGAGTTTATCCAAATATTGAAAAGAAATGTAGCCATCCACATCGGCCTGTTAGCTGTTGGTTTCTTTGTGGGAAATTAACTCCACCTCTGAAGACCTCACTGCCACAAAGCCCGAAGCTCTGGAGAAAAATACACTGTTGTGGAGCTGCTGGGGGGAGTAAACGACTTATGGCTCGAGACTCAGGTAATCTTAGGGAAATCTGAGGAAATTAAGTACTGTGTAAATGATGCATAGGCTTTCTGCATCGTGCATGCTCTTCCATTTGGAGTAAACAGTGGGATCATGCACAATTTCCTATTCAGGATTGTGCCCTTCTTGTGCGTATGCTACAGAAGACATTTTGACAGCATTCTAAAGTCGTTAAAAACTATCTGATGGAGGCAAAAAGGTTAAAGTCTCTCTCCAAACTTTCTAGGAATTACCTGACAGACCCAGGAACCTTACCAAAAAGCACTTCCACTCTGAGCTGTCAGGCTCAGAAAATGGAAGGTGGGCAGTAAGTATCCTCATTTTGGTACAAAAGTATTTTCCTTTCTCTTTAGCTTGGTGTTTCTTTCTCTTTAGCTTGCCGCAGTGTGCCAAACCACTGTGCACCAATCCACATGACACCAGCTCAGCAGAAAGATAAAGTAAGAACTGAAGAAATTTTTCTAATGATCCATTAAAGGAGAAAATGTTGGCAGATTTTCAGATCAGGCATAAATATTTGAAAAGTTGGGCTATTAAACTAAAAGATTGTTTTCCTCTCCGTAGCTGAAAATAAGGCACTTGAAAGAATCCCAACATGCTGCATGAATCCTTTGTGAAAATAGTTGACTTAAGAAGTGGAGCTCACAAATTACTTTTATGAGTTCTTCAGTATCTTTGCACAAGTGTCCTTTGAAATGAATAGATTTAACCTCTTTTCACTTTTGTTGTGCCTAAGAGAATCACTTTATAAATAAGAAAAGGAAGAAAGCTTAAACCGCTCTACTGAATAGTTACTTATCTGCCCTCTCAGCCACTGCAATCCATCACTATCTCTTCTCATAAAGTCAAGAAGTGGGCCATGTACCACGCTGTCTTTCAGGTGGGGTTTTTAACTGGGCCATTTCTGCTGCTGAACAGCCTCATATACTTCCCACTGATGAGTTCAGTGGCATGAGAAAGAAACTCAGGAACATCCATCACAGGTGGATGGGATGCTGCCAGATTTCTCGTCTTACCACTGATGACCAAATAATTTCTGTTACGGATGATTTCCACCCATTTCTGTTATGGATGATGGCAGCTTAGCTGGATTTATGCCCAGCTAAGTCGTCATCACATTTTTAACTGGAGAGAGTATTGTTTTGTTTGTTTGTTTGTTTCTTTTCCATCTTTTATTTAATACAGAGATCTGACCTGGCACAGTGACAGAAAACCTAAATTAGAAAACCTTTCATTGAGGTTTTGCCTATCAAACCAAATAGTTGTCTCTCCAATTACTCTTGTAGAAATAGAGGTTAACCAGCTGAGTTCAGTCATTGCTGACATTCTCCAACAACCTAGCTGTTTTAAGTGGTGTTTTTGCCAAATTTTTAATTACACTGCATAGACAGCACAGATTTTCTATTTCTCTAGCTCTGTTCAAATTTAATTTTTTTTTTTTGAGGACTCATTGCTGTGTCTATATTAAAAAAATCTGCATCACCCTTAAGAGTATTTCTAAGGTATTTAATTCTTGGCTGTTATTCTTTATGGTGATTCCTGCAATTGGATTGCACTTATGGCTTTTTTTGGTTAGTTTAGTGGTATCTTTTTTTTCCTGATTCAGGGTATAAGTCATAATAACCATAAATAGCCATATTTCCATCTAGTTCAGCTGAGGCACACTGGCTAGTGCAGGAGTTCTTTTGCAGCAGATGCAGAGCTATCGTTACGGATAAGAATATCATATCTTTATATCCTTATCTTTTAATAGCTTAGTGTTGAATAACCAGCATTCAGTGTGGGCAAAAGTTCCCATCCCTTTTCATTCGGCATAGCTGTGCACTGCTGCCTGTGTCTGCTTACTTTAAGCTGTGGTGGTCTCACAGAGCATGCATAATACATACCGCCTCTTGTCCCCAAAAGTCTCTTCATCAGTTGCAAATAATATCAAACAAATCAGTTTTTCTTATCAGTATTCAAATCCCAACCCTTTTTTTATTAGCCGTTAGATTTACAGGAGAGTGCAATATGACTTTATTACATGATCAAAGGAACTTTGTTCCAAGTTTCCAATGTGAATATTTGAATTATACAATTTCTTCCCATTATTTTTTTGCTTCTGTAATTGTTCCTGTCAGTAAATGTGTTCGTTACTGGAAAAAGAAACTGAAAAAGGAACATAAGCACAGCTACAGCACATGCAATAAGGCATTAAAATGAGTATTCCTGGGAACTGTTTTTGTAGTATTTTCCCAGCTGCATGTCTTCCAATGGACAACTCTACAGAAAATTTAAAGAGAAAAAGGAGCCTAGGTCATTTTCCATGGAAATCCTTGTTCATTTAGCCCAGGGATTGCAAGACTGGACAATGGCAAGAAATAATTCAATATCAGGATCTTCTCTGCCTGGGAATATGATTCATTTGTGTGGTTTATCTGAGAAGTCTTGTCTGACTTTTTAAGTTTCAAAAGAAGCAGCTGGTTAAGAGGAAGATTTGAAGCAATTTTGCTTGAAAATGTGGCCCTTTTCTAACAGCAAAACCAGTCTATCCCTATTCTTTTGGAAATCTGAGATGACTGCTTATTTGAGAGAGCTTAAATGTACGTCTATTCTTGGTGGTAAGCCCTGTATTTTCATTTACATTCCTCTGATGAAAAAAGAAACTTGAGACCAGTTGCAAAGAAGGGCTCTTTCCCCTCGTTTGCAGAGGGAAGGCAGCAGGATGAAGAGAGCCCAGACGTTTTATTGGATGGCCACTTCCTATGAGCAGCACTGCGGTATCCCTTCATGTTCCCGAGAAGACAAAGCCCCTTCTCTTCCTCTCACCTTCACCTGACATCCATGTGGCAGCTACAGCAACTGCTCTGATAGCAAATATAATTTCCGCTTTGTTTCATGCTAAACCAAAGATGTTAAAACGGAGAAATCATCAGTATTTGGGCCTCCAAGGAGCAATTAAATAGAGGCTTAAAATTGGATTAGGAAGCCCTAATCCTAACCCAAATTTCCTTGTTTTAGACCCATTTACAAGGTTAGCTATTGAAGGAGTGCAGGAGTAGAACAAAGGAGCCTGCTTACAGCAGGGAAAATCACATCTTAAACATCTGAGAGGCTTCATTCCACTTCGGTGTCATAAATTTAAACAAACAATGTTGTTACAGATTCATGCATTAAATCAGCTCAGCGATCGGAGACCGATACATCTTCTGTCACCTGTAGAATCACACAGACAATTTATAGTTGTACGTGGTACTTTACCAAGAAACACAATGACTTACTGAGCTTTATTATATTTCATTCCTACCAAAGCTCAGACTGTGTTCTTTTGCTCATACTTTACGTTATCACCTTGCTCATCCTGGAGAGGTGCTGCTGTGTACTCCTATGGTTTGGAAGAGGTGGCATGCTTTGCTCCAGTGCACAGCCAGGCTCCGGGCAGAAAGCTTTTTCCAGCACCCAACCTGTTCATTGACCTGAAAACAGCATGTTTCACCTGTCTCATGGTGTCAAAGTCGGAGCTAGTCACCCTTAGACTGAATAAAGAGAAAGGGACACCTAAAGGACCTCAACCTTCTTCAATCTTGCTCTGCAGTAGCCATCACACCCTAAATACATCTGTTCCTCTTCATTGATTCATGAGGGGCCCCAGGGTGGCTCTCCACCACATTTAAGTCTTTTTTCTGTATGGTTAAAGTGAGGGGAGGTGAATCCACTCACAAAGATCTGCCTCATACATCACATCTGCCCGTTTTACCTGTGTTACTTCTAAATGCTCGCTTTTCTGGCTACTAGTGGGTTAAACGGAAAATGCACACTGCTAAAGCTGCAGGTTAATGCTCTGAGATTTGGCAGGATCTTGCTTTCTTATTGTGTTATTTCGTAGAAATAACTTTGCTGTTTGCTGGAAAAACAAAACAAAGCAAAACATCTGTTTTAGTCTTCACACCAAGAACTACAACCCTGTGAAAGCTACTGAAGCAGGAGACGGTCAAAATAAGAGAACTGCTATAATGTCCAAAGGGAAATCACAGCTTTGCTGTACCTGGGAAGAACATGACTCACGGTGTGCCTGGAAAGCGCAGAGACGGTGGGGAATAGGTCTTGCAAGAGGCAGCAAAGTGATGTCAAAGGGAGCAGATGGATTGCATTGCACTTGGCAGACTGAAAGACGCTCTGTTGTCTCCTGAACTGGAGCTGTGGCGCTGAAACAACAGAATTGTGCTCTCCCAGCACACATTCTGCTGATGTGGTGGTCACTCTGCACAGGAAGCATTTTGATCCCTTGTAGCACGTCCAGCCAAAGCCTGAGCATCCTGACAGTGCCATCCTTAGTGTGGGTGAGGACCAACAATGACAAGGTTAAGGCGTTTGATAACCTGTGAGCCCAAGTGCAAAAGCGTTAGATAAACAGTGGTAATGAGAGGGGAATTAGGGACAATAGATCCTTGAGGGCCAGAAGATCTTTCGATGTTGTTTTTATTTAGAGAGGGTTATTTTTATTTAGAGAGGGTTATTTTTTTGTTGCAACATTTCTATGGGAGAAGGAGGGGAGGCCGTGCTGAGTGGGATCCTTTGCATTGCAGATACCAGCTGCTCTCTGTGGAGTAGCAAACCAGGCTGCAGGTGCTTTAGCTGAAACTTGGTTTCATTGACCCAGGTGACTTTTGCCATCAACCCTAAGGCAGGAGGGCTCCCGTCCACGGTGCCACCGGGAGCACAAAGACACCACTGAGCGATGTCTCACAATGGTGTTTAACAGAAGGACATAACAGAAAAGTTCTCGTAGTCCCCTTGCTTAGGAGTGAAATGCCATGCCCCCAGGAATCATGCGGGAAGATTACAACCAGATTTTCACATTGCAATGTGTTCTGTTTATGAATGGAGACCAAACTATGCGACCGAAGCACAACCCCTTATTAGAGGGGAAAGGCTGAGATGACGAAGAGCCCTGTGCTGTGCGGATAAGCTGGAGTCACTGTGCTCTGCCTCAGCTAATTGGCACAGGACCCAGCAGCGTGGGTACCCAACCAGTCGTTTCATACATAGAAACTTGTAATTGTGTGAGCATTTCTACTCACTTTTAATTCGGCTGATGAAAACGCACAGATGTGAGGGTAAAAGGTTGTGTGAGATTCAGGATGTCACCAGCTCCTCTTAACTTGCCTCCCTGGGCTGCTCAAGTGTTTTTCTAATAATAATAATAATAGCAATCTTAATTTACTGTGAATTGAAAAGGAGAGTTGAAGCAAACGAAGGCCGTGCCACCATCCTCCAGGAAGACCCAAGAAGCTGAGGAATGTCTTCCTCTTCTCAAAACTGGAAAGCCACCCTGGGGAAGGTGGGGACTGTACACCTCTGCTGTCCACCCTGTCCTCTCCATGCCCATTTTCATGGCCCATGGCTAGTGCAGGGGTTATGTACCAGCCACCTCTGTGGGCCATGGCTGGTTAGACACGGGTGCCTGGGGCACCTTGCACCACCGACATCAGCCACGAGCCTCAGCTGCAGCCACCTCTGTCCACCTGGCCTGGCTGACTCGCATGGAAGTGATTTGTCAGGAGCTCCACTGAACCCCCTCAAAAATATTCTTGGCCAAAGTGCCAAGCTTGCCCTCAGGAGACTCTCTTTGGGCAGCTGGGCTTGCTCTTCCCACACGCCAGCCCCCCTCGGACACATTGCATGGGCATTTGAGCAACTACCCAACCATAAAACAAGCATAAATGTTTTCTCAGGGAAAGGATGAGGAATGTGTTTGCAATCCGCTCCAAGATTTTCCTAAAATAAAGACTCCATGTCCGTGGACAATAATCATATTAGCACACCAGGAAGTTAGAAAAAAATGAAAAAGAAGTTATTGTGTTGGTCACACACTGCTGGGTTTGTCCCTTTCCGGACACACTTGATTAGACTCCGTTACTGGTTTGTAGACACCCTAAATCTAGCAGGGAAGGACTGAAGCACTGACATATGGTTAAGATAGTAAAACAGCCCAAACCTTTCCAAGCATTAGCTGAATTTCATCCAAAATTCCATTAAAATACATACTGAAATAATGTGGAAAAAGAGGAGGATCTTTTTTGCATAGCCATTTATGTATTCTTTGGTGTCTTAGTGTCATCATGATCCTTAGCTCAAATTCCTCAAGTTCACACACCCAGCACAACACTCTGCATTGACTTGGGGCCACAACTGAGATCTGTTCAGGGAACTTTATTCTCATGGACCCTCAAATCTAACACTTCCAAATTAACACCAATTGTGGTTAGTTGCTTCATATGCACTCTCTTTAGATATCCATTTCTAGCTGCGTGCAACTGCTGGCAGCAAAAATGCATTAGAAAGATTTAACCTCTAACCTCACCCAAACAAAAGATGTTCAAGAGCATTGATACTTTGATGGGGTCCTGGGCACTGGTGGGTAAATGAAGACAAGTTGGAGAAAAGTCTCCAGTGTTTTCCCTCCTCAAACCCTGTCCCCTGATCACCAGGGCTGCATCAAAAACCTGCCTCACTTCCCCAGATCCTATTCTAGCACCTTGAAAATGTCAAAAGGATTCATCCTTCTTCCTAAGCACCTTCATGGGAATGATGCAAAGCAGTCTGCTATGGGCTATGACATTGTCAGAGAACATTAAGAGGTAGCTGGGTTGCTGCTTGTGTCAAGGACCTCCAAGAAATCCTTTTTGGGTGAGTTGGTAGCAGTTCAGTGTGCATCATTTCTAGATTTCAAGAAGATTAGGAAGATCCATTCCATTTTTTTCCTGTTTTTCTCCAAGATGTACTGCTTGGACAATAACAGGAATAACTCCACGAGAGGCAGATGGCATTAGATGATCATGCTGATCCACTGAGGCTTAAGTACTGAACTTCTTTGCAGTCAAGGTGGGCTAGAAACATGCACTGTGATCAGCTGAAAGGCAAGGAGACATTGCTGCATCTGTGTCTGATTTGTGTGTGCCCCGAGAAGGAAATTGCATTTCAAAAGGGTTTTGCATTCAGGTCATGTTATTTTATTCCAAGCTGGTGAGATTCTGCTCCACTACCTAGCCCTGAATGTCAGGTGATTTCAATTTGTTTGACATCTCTAGTTTTGCACTATTTTATTCATTCTGAAATAGTACATTTGCCCAAGTATCACTTCATATTAAACAAGGACTGGAAATTTACTGGGGTTTTCTCTGAACAGACAATTTGCTAGAATATCATTTTTAAGATGAGAAATTAGTTAGACAGCTTCCTAAGAGCTTTACCTGCAAGCCAATAAGAAAATGGAATCAGTTTAACATATTTTATTCATTTTTGTTGTTTTTGTTTTTGTTTTCTCTAGAAAACAGATTATTTTTTTTCATGAAAAAGCAATTTTGAGCTTTTTTTCTAAGGGCTAAGAAAATAGCAATCAAAATCTGAAAATGAAACAGAACTATTAACTTATAGTGGCATGACGGCATGAAAGAGATCAGTCAATCTGAAATGGAGTTGTTTTTTTGTTGTTTTTTTTGCTTGCTTGTTTGTTTGTTTCTGGTTTGGTAGAAAATAATTAAAAAAAAAAATAAACCCACACAGAAATAAAACAATCCTTTGCACAGCTCTAGATAATGTGTTTCAAAAATAGTCCAAAGGGATACATTCACACAGAAACAGATTCTTTCATTTCTCAAGCCATCCAATAGTGAAGGAAAAAAGAGACCAGAACTTCCTCCAAGTTTCCTTCTGCTGCTCCTCTTAAAACAAGGGAAAACACATTTCTGACCACATTACATGTTTTAGTTGGACACCACTAAACGCAAGGCTTCTGCTGAAATGCAGGACGCCACCCGACCAAAGTTCAAAGTCGGGCAACCAGCCATGATTATTTGTAAAATAAAGTGAATCCAAAAGCTGTCAGACGAGCAACTGCAATGATAACTTGGAGCATCTTCCTGGCTGTAAACACCCTCCTGTGGTGGTCCCTGCTTCATTTACCCCAAGATATACCCTCCCCTTGTAACTCAGGCAGAACTTAGGTGCAGGAGGACTTTGGCTCGGGGTGCTGGTTGTCCTGCCTTTCCTTCCCTCATCTTCCCTGATGTATTTTGGCTTGGGCAGTACCTGGAGTCAACACAGTGATTTTCATGGAGGGCACTGGGATCTACGTGGTCCATACAGAGAGGGAAAGAGGAAGAAGTAAGGATGTGATATTGGAAAGGGACAATGCTTTCCTCTGAAGGGTTGTTATAGCTCCTTCACCTCCCTCTCACTGGGAAAATCTTGGTCATTTCTACCTCTGCTGGCCCTCTCCATCGTGCCAAGCCATGTGCCATGAGCTGTGTGCTGTGTCTGCAAACCTGGCCTCCCTCCTCCATGCACTGCATCATGCCCCATTGAGAATAAAGCTCTGGGGGCCCTATATCGTGGCCATGATATTGCTTAATGTAAGGACCTTTAACTAAATGTTGTGCTTTAATTCTTTAGTTCTTCCTTTCTGGGGTTGTGTTCCAGTTCATCTGGATGCAGGAATTCAGTATTTTATATATTCCTTATTCTTTTGACTAGTGGGGACATTTTCTGCCAAGTCCATGGTAGATTTTGCATGCTGTGAAATACATAACTGCATTCACACTCTCTGGTTAAAGCAAGTGGCTGTTCGTAGCTTGCCAGATTCCCATATCTACCAACAATCCAACTAGCAGAGCACCTAGGGGTGCAGCAAGAAGTGCAGGAGCAGAGATTTTCTGCTTTCCCCACTCCAGATCCTCATCTGCCCACCGCATCTGTGGAGAATGTCTGTGCAGCTGGGTGGGAAAAAAAAATACCATTTTTTTAATAAAGCAGCAGCAAATATTTACACTTCTTTCCGTGCCCAGGAGCTGGTCATCCCTGAACCTTTCCCCCAGGACTGGTTTGGACAACAGAAAGCTCTTTATGCCACCCAAACCTCCCTGAGCCATGGAAACCAGCTTCTAAAGCCAAGAGGATTTGAGAGACTGATGCTGCCTCATCTGCAGCCTGCCCTGCCCTGCTCCAGCCCAGATGCCAGCTGGTGTGACTAAAACCAGCCTCTGGCGTGAGGCCAGCCACACACAGCTCTTACCCTGGCACTGGTCCCTAATGAGGTGTGTGAACCATCCCACCCCAAACCTCCTCACAACCAGTCCTACAGAGCCATCCTTGGGTTTGAACTCGCCCACAGTTCAGATGGCGGCTGTCGCTGTAACCAGAGAGGCCTTCAACCTTTTTTTTTTTTTTTTGATGGCTGAATCAGCTCGCCAAAATTCAGGGCTTAGCACTATTTTTTTGTCCCTCTTTTCTTTTCCCATTTGGCTGGTGGGAAGAGAAATGCCTGGCTGGGGTGAGAGCCAGCGCTGATGTGGGGCGGCTTCCTCCAAGGGCTGCTGTGAAGCCCCATTTCCCCTGCACACCAGGAACCAAAGAGCCGGGAAGGTTCTTCTCACTCAGAGAGCCAAATGCTCTTCCCAACCCGTGCTTGGCCCCAGAGCTTCCCCTTGGCGTTTGTCAGTTCCTGTGCTTGTTTTGGCCTCGTCCTCCACTCCTCGCTGCTGCTCCCAGGCTGTGGGCATGCTCCAGGATCTCTTCCCACCACCAGCAGGCACTTAGCATCGCCTCCCTGCTGGGCTGGGGCTCATGGTTCTGCTCACTGTGTCTTGGGAGCGCTCCCTCACCTGCCACGGGCAAAGCCACGATGCAGAGATGTAATGCAAAAACTCATCGAGTGATGGATGAAAGCATGGTTAACTCCTGGGGCTTACACAGATGTGCTCCAAAAGTCTGTAATTTAGTGCACTACACTGTTTTGCAACAGGAAAATTGCTTCAAAGTATATCAGTCTGCATGATAGCTGTTACTATGAGGATGAGCATGGAAGGGTTGTGTGTTTACTTGGTGATATGGCTAAAGCTTCACCAAAATTGGCTAAAACTTCAGCAAAATCATTGGAGGATGAAGTGGAGTAAGGTCATTGTCACAGGCCACTTTTTGCAGCATGTGACTTCAGGGTCTCCTCAGACATGCATGTGTTTCCATTACAGCTAACATAAAAATATTCCATGCCACCTCATACCAATCCTTCACGGGCACTGAAAAAAAATGTGTCCACAGCTGGGAGATCTACCCCTCAGCAAGAGATGTCAACAACAAAAAGCACCAATGTGGCATGCCACAGGCTCCCGAGGGCAGCAGGATCTGGCATGTGTCACCTCCCCTGTGCCATCCTCAGGGCAAAGCATCCTCATGGCACTGGGGCTGGGGAATTAGGCTTAAGGATCAAACACAACAAATAAATCAGCAGTGAGTTATCAACAGGCTGTGATTTCCACTAGGCAAATCATACTCTGCAGCACTGATGGCACCAAGCCTTAAATAAGACCTGTTCTGCTGTAGTTGGTGAACCAAGTGGGTTTCACCGGTGTCATGCTGCACTTTTTAAAGAGTAATAACAGCTGTAAGGCTTGGGGCTTCCTCTCTGAAAAATACAGATCCAACATGATTCCATGCATATATGGCTGCTTTAATAAGTATACTTATGTACGCTGTAAAAATAGAACATTTTCCTGGCCTTAAGGATGTGGATTTGCCTGCAAACAGTGCTGTAATGAGAAATTTCAGAACCCTTTTCTGCAATGGAAAATGAGGAGATTTCAGTAAGTAGTTGATTAATAAATATATATATATATCTCACCGGAATTGTCTGCAACACAAAGCTTTGCAACTGTTGTTATTCACATCATCAACAAACACTTTGAAAGAAGTGGTGTGCAGGGGTGTGGGAAAAAGAGCTTTGTGGTTTTCAGTTTCAGCTCTGCCTGTGAATCACTTTGCAGTCTTGGGCAAGTGGCTTAACCTCCTTGGGACTCGGTCTGTTTAGCTCCGTGGTGAGCTGAGCAGCGTTTGGTGGACCTCGTTCAAGGGGGTGCTTGAAAATATCCATGGGATCAGAGGAGATGGTATATAAATGAAATATAGTATTGTACTAGCTGGAGTATCGTGGCTTTTTATCCTTCCAGAAATCCAGATGTGTTACATGAAAAGGGTGCTATTGTTACATACGGATGGGTTTTTCTTCCTCAGGCAAACAATGCAACATCTTCCAGACAGAGACCAGGATCCTGACATCCTCATCAGGCAGACTCCCACTGAAGCCAGCTACAGCTTTGCCTGAGCTAGAATTTGGCTCTTTGTGAATTATCCAACACAATCCATTGACTCTTTAACCCATAAATTGTCAAACTCAATTATTTCCAGCTAAGCAGATGGCTGAAAACAAATAACCTGTAAGATAAGGTACTCTGGCTCCAGTTTTAAGTAAAATTAAAGTTTGCTAAACACAAATGTTACAGTTACATAAATAACAAAAGAAAAAATCACCACCAAAGCCAAAAATCATTTTTCTGAAAAAACATAGAGGATCAATTTCTCCAGTTTAGTATTACCAAACTTGGCAGTAATTCACATTTGAAGTATAATGATGTCATCTGGTTGGCCTTTTCCCATCGCAAACAGTAAATCTTAAAATCTGGAGAGATCTTTTATTTGGTTATTCATATTGTACTGCATCAAGGGGTTACAACACATGTGCCTGGGCTTATTAAAATCATCTGGAGGAGAGGATCTTGTTATTTAAAGGCACAGTGCTCGAGACCAGTCTGTTTTTCCTGGAGACTCTTTTTTTTTCTGATGTCAGCTGCACTTCCAGGCAAACACTCACCACCACTTGTGTCACGTTGAGAGGGCCCTTTGTTTGGAGTGGCTCTCTGTAGCATCTGGCAAGAGATGCTCTAACCCATGGACTTGCATCCGCCGTCCAAGGGACCAGCCACTCTCAGTGCTTTTCTTCTTCAGAGAGGACTTACACCATCGTGGTAACTCTCCTCATTGGCTTTTGAATGGAAAGTTACTACTGTCTGGTGCTGAAGTCCACACAAAACCTCCCATCTAGGGAAACAGGCACGTTGTTGTGCTCTCACCAGCCAGATCTCTTGCTCCCAGGGCCAGTTTCATCACAGGTTGGCCACGTGTTTACCCCACTGCAACAAGCAAATAGCAGGCTGGTCTTCTGCAAGTCCCACGGTGCCTTCAGCTGGGCTGCTCCTTCCTTGCTCTCCCAGATTTCCAAAGGCTGCTTTCTCCTGCTCAGTTTTATTTACGTTTCTGAGGTTTGCGTTGTTTGGGGTTTGGTTTGGGCTGCTGGCTGTTTTTCTTGGAAAAAGCCGTGGTGCAGCGCAGGATGTCCTTGCTGTGCTGTTTTGGGGAACATTCCCTCGCTGGAGATCACTCTGTGTTTCTCCAAGGCGTGGTGCCAGCCCAGCAGTACCAAGCAACCTGTGTTTTTCAGTGGATTCCTTGCTGTAGATCCATGCACCATCTACTAACACTAATTAAAATCTCTACATAGTTTTTCCCCATTTACTTAATATTGCAGCGTGTTTGCACCAGGGCGTTCTGTCCTGGCTCCCCCTTGAGCCCTTCTCTGTTGTCTTCTTCTTCCAACCTGTGTGTATGGAGGTTTTGCTGGTTTATTAATCTCCTCGTGGTATGAGGGAAAGGCCCGTTTTGTAACTTGGCCAGATAGGAAAGTTTAGTGCTGAAGTACCCTCGTGAAATTTTGCTGAACTCTTCTCCTGCAGAAGTGTGGTTGAAATACTTCCAGCCAATTGTGAATGCTCAACAGCCACTTATTAGATAGCACAGCAAGGATTGCCAGGCACATAAAATCATCCCACAGCTGGAATTAGACATGGAAAAAAATAATAAACCAACCCACAGCATTTTTTTTTTCTCATATCTGGGGAAGGAAACAGTATCTAGCACCTGAAATTGTAAGATAAACTCAATTGAGAATACTCTTTTATTATTTTCCCCAAGTGTTTGGCAAGATCTGGCACTTGGAAAAAAACAGCTATAGCTTAGAAATTAGCTGATGGTTCCCCACATTGCAGCACCATGAAAACAATATTTCAGTGTCTAGGACGAATCACTTCAATGGACAGCTTGGGGCATTGGTCACGAGGCTGTAGGATCTGGCACCAGAAGCCTCCTCTGGTCATTTTCTGCTTTTCCATGCGGCTGTTACCATATGTGGTGATGCCCATTGAGTAGTTCTCTGAATACATTTCTGCCCACAGGAAGGCTTCCTCCATCACCCACACTCATGTATATTATTTCTATTTATTTATCTATAGAAAAAAGTGAAGGGTTTAATATGCAGATCTCTCTGCTGTCATAAAAAATCTAGATCGTCAATGCATTTCAAGGGCTGGCTGTCTTGTTAGGGCAGTGCTGTCACAGTTTTCTACACTTAACATGCCATCTGAAGGGCTGTCCTTGTGCCTCCCCTTCCTGGCTGTGAATTAATTTTCTGTATAAT